CCTCGCCCCGATTCTTGGCGCGTCGTGCAATTCTGCCCTGATTGGATCTGGGGCCTCCCCCGGCTGGTTGTGGTGTTCCCCGGTCGGCCCGTCGCCGTGGCCGGGCGCGCCCTCCTTGCTGCGCCCCTCCCCACCCTGACCCCCCTCCACTCTGGTCGGCTTCGGGCCAGCCCCTCTTCGAAGGTGGCCTGGAGGCTCACGGTTGTTCCCGACAGCCGCTACTTCCGGTAGCACACCAGCCGGGAGTGTGGCTGCGTGTGAACCTTCTTCATCATCCACCCACCCCGCAGGGGCGGCTTCGACCCGGCGGCCAAGGACTTGCATCCCCTTCCCGCGTCCATGGCCGGCAGGCGTGGCTTCGGATCCGGCGCAGCCCGGGAGCTATGCTATTTCCGGCTCCTATGGCTCGCTGACTCCTTGGCATCTCCGCATCCAACACCCTGCGGTGCCCTTGGTTGGCCGTCCATACCGGCGCATCCTAGGGTCCGCGCACTCTGGGAGTTGCGTCCCCTTCCAGCTCCTTTGGCCCGTTGGTGCCAATGCTGCTTCGGTCCTAGTGGCCTGGATCTGTGCTCCCATCCAGATCCCGGCTTGTCTGGGGCTCTGGCCACAGTTGCATCCGCAATGCATCCCATTCAGCTCAGCCACGCAACCTTGTCCTCCTCCAAAGCTTGCACGTCCGGCAACAACCGGTGCTTCGTTTGGCATTGGGCGTGGCTCCCCTTCCTGCAGTCGCAGCTCCGACCTATGCTTGACTTCCTCTTCTCCAACTTGTGCTCTGACGGCTTGGGATTGCTCAGAATTTGGCCAGGGAGAAATCCGTGCATCTTGTGCTGGCAGCAGGGACACTCGCGGGTGTCGTTCCCTTCTTGGAGGCGCTGTTATGGTCATTATCTGTGCCCCTCTTCGAGCATCAGGGGAAACCCTAGGTCTGGTTTTCCAGATCGGACGACGATGGTGATACGTCTCCAACATATCTATAATTTTTTATTGTTCCATGCTATTATATTATCTATTTTCGATGTTTTATATGCATTAATATGCTTTTTTATATTATTTTTGGGACTAACCTATTAACCTAGAGCCTAGTGCCAGTTCCTGTTTTTTGAGTTTCGCAGGAAATGAATACCAAACGGAGTCCAAACAGAATAAAACCTTCGCGATGATTTTTCTTGGACCAGAAGACAACTAGGAGACTTGAAGATGAAGTCGGAGGAGCCACGAGGCGGCCACAAGGACGGAGGGCGCGCCCCCACCCTTGTGGGCCCCTCGTGCACCTTCTAACCTAATTCTTTTGCCTATATATACTCATATATCCCCAAACCATTAGAGGCATCCACGAAAACACTTTTCCACCGCCGCAACCTTCTGTACCTGTGAGATCGCATCTAGGGACCTTTTTCGGCACCCTGTCGGAGGGGGATTCGATCACGGAGGGCTTCTACATCAACTCTATTGCCCTTCCGATGAAGCGTGAGTAGTTTACCTTAGACCTACGGGTCCATAGCTAGTAGCTAGATGGCTTCTTCTCTCTCTTTGATTCTCAATACCATGTTCTCCTCAATGTTCTTGGAGGTCTATTCGATCTAATACTTTTTTGCGGTGTGTTTGCCGAGATCTGATGAATTGTGGATTTATGATCAGCTTATCTATGAACACTATTTGAATCTTCTCTAAATTCTTTTATGCATGATTTGATATCTTTGTAATTCTCTTCGAACTATCGGTTTGGTTTTGCCAACTAGACTGGTTTTTCTTGCAATGGGAAAAGTGCTTAGCTTTGGGTTCAATCTTGCGGTCTCCTTTCCAAGTGACAGTAGGGGCAACAAGGCACGTATTGTATTGTTGCCATCGAGGATAAAAATATGGGGTTTTCATCATATTGCTTGAGATAATTCCTCTACATCATGTCATCTTACTTAATGCGTTACTCCATTCTTTGTGAACTTAATACTTTAGATGCATGCTGGATAGCGGTCGATGTGTGGAGTAATAGTAGTAGATGCAGAATCATTTCGGTCTACTTGACACAGACGTGATGCCTATATTCATGATCATTGCCTTAGATATCGTCATAAATTTGCGCTTTTCTATCAATTGCTCGACAGTAATTTGTTCACCCACTGTATTATTTGCTATCTTGAAAGAAGCCTCTAGTGAAATCTATGGTCCCCGGGTCTATAGTTTCCGATTTACTACTTTTGCAATCTTTTACTTTCCGATCTATAAACCAAAAATCAAAAATATTTACTTTACCATTTATCTATCTTTATCAGATCTCACCTTTTCAAATAACCATGAAGGGATTGGCAACCCCTTTATTGCATTGGGTGCAAGTTGTTTGTTTGTTTGTTTGTGCAGGTATTCGGTGATTTGTGTGTGGTCTCCTACTGGATTGATACCTTGGTTCTCAAACTGAGGGAAATACTTATCTCTACTTTGCTGCATCACTCTTTCCTCTTCAAGCGGAAAACCAACGCAAGCTCAAGAAGTAGCAGGAAGAATTTCTGGCGCCGTTGCCGGGGAGATCTACGCCAAGTCAAGACATACCAAGTACCCGGCATAATTTCTCATCTCTTGCATTACATTATTCGCCATTCACCTCTCGTTTTTCTCTCCCCCACTTCTAAAATGATTTTTAAATTTTTTTGCCTTTTCTTTGCCCCTCTTCCGTTCGTCTTCTTCGTTTGCTTTTAGTGTGCTTGTGTGTTGGATTGCTTACTTTGTCACGATGACTCAAGAGAATACCAAATTGTGTGATTTTTCCAACAACAATAATAATGATTTTATTAGTACTTCGATTGCTCCCGCCACTAGTGCGAAATCTTGTGAAATTAATGCCGCTTTGCTGAATCTTGTTATGAAATATCAATTTTCCAGCCTTCCTAGTGAAGATGTCGCTTTCCATCTAAATAATTTCGTTGATTTGTGTGATATGCAAAAAAAAGATGTGGATAATGACATTGTTAAATTGAAGCTATTTCTGTTCTCACTTCGAGATCATGCTAAAACTTGGTTTTAATCTTTGCCTAAAAATAGTATTGATTCATGGAATAAGTGTAAAGATGCTTTTATTTCCAAGTATTTTCCTCCCGCTAAGATCATCTCCCTTAGGAACGATATTATGAATTTTAAGCAACTTTATCATGAACATGTTGCACAATCTTGGGAAAGGATGAAATTGATGATATGGAATTGCCCTACTAATGGTTTGAATTTGTGGATGATTATACAAAAACTTTATGTCGGATTGAATTTTGCTTCTAGAAATTTTTTATATTCGGCCACGGGATGTACTTTTATGGAAGTTACTTTAGGGGAAGCTACTAAACTCCTAGATAATATTATGGTTAATTATTCTCAATGGCATGCCGAAAGATCTTCCACTAGTAAAAAAGTGCATGCAATTGAAGAGATTAATGTTTTGAGTGGAAAGATGGATGAGCTTATGAAATTATTTGCTAGCAAGAGTGCTTCTATTGATCCTAATGATATGCCTTTGACTACTTTCATTGAAAATAATAATGAATCTATGGATGTGAATTTTGTTGGTAGGAACAATTTTGGTAATAACGCGTATGGAGGTAATTTTAATCCTAGGCTGTTTCCTAGTAATTCCTATAATAATTATGGTAATTCCTACAAGAATTCTTATGGAAATTATAATAAGATGCCCTCTAATTTTTGAGAATAGTGTTAAAGAATTTATGAGTTCGCAAAAGAATTTCAATGCTTTGATTAAGGAAAAATTGCTTAAGATTGATGATTTGGCTAGGAACGTGGATAGAATTTCTCTTGATGTTGCTTCTTTGAAACATATATCTATTCCACCCAAGC